CAACCTACCATGCCAAAAAGTGCTGGTGAAGAGTCGGGCCTGCCTACATAGCCTACGTGAACTCGTGACATGAGATGTTAGTGTATCCAAGATTTTTCAGATTTAAAATTGTCAGCGTTTTATATATTTGTATGAGTGTATCTGTTTTAGTGTAAAATGTGATTATGTCATAAAAACACTATTATAGGAATATTATAGGGCCTACTATTTCGTAATATAAAGTATGGGTTGGGTCAGTTGAGCCATACTCATTGTCATAGAGAAATAACTTGATTTTTTAGAAATAATTTGATCTTGTCAACCCCCCCCCCACCCACCTAAAAAAAAAATAATAAAAAATAAAAAAAAACAAAAAACATAGAGATTACGCATCGTAAATATAAACCTGAACTTTATGTTTTTAAAGCTATACTTAGTTAATTTTAATGATTGCACTGCAACGAAAATTCCGAAAAAGGTCCATTATTTGCCATTACCAATATCAGGACAGCTCCTTGAGCCTAAGCCCCATCTTCCTAAGCCCGTTGGCCAATGTCTTGATAAAAATTAATAATAATATTACTTCATATTAGGGCATATTTGATTAAAAACATTTTCAGTTATAGTTGAAATTAAAATGATGCCAAGGAATTTAAATTAGTATTTGAAAATTGTTTTGTATTATTTCACAAGTTATACATTTTAGAAATCTAACCAACAACAGTCATTTTTCGCTTTTCAATGTTAAAAGATTGTTTACAATTTGAGGCCAGTGTTCAACGCCGTCAAGAGGAACCTCTCTCGGTAATTACCAATAAGAAATTATGTTAATTTTCTAATAACTAACTTAAGTCCAATTGAAATATAACAGTCATCACCGAGAACATGCATAGGAGTTAGTGGTAATTGTGTAACATTACTAGGAGTGGCGTAGCTAGGGTTAGTGCCGCCGAGGGCGGACCAAGACTGCCAGGAAGCAAGATCAAAATCAGTAACAGTGATCAGCATTTGCTAAACTCCTAACAAACAAACGTTGCTGTTTTTCGTTTGGCTCTCAAAGAAAGCAATGATGTTCATGATTCTGCACAACTTATAATTTTCATTCGTGGGATAAATAATGATTTTGAAGTCACAGGCTGCTCAGAAGAAAGGCAGAAAGGCATGAATTTCAATGGAACAGTGGGAACAGGAAAGGATATATATTATATAACATGTTTCATCAAACTGTGAATGATTTGGACTGAGCTAAACTAGCCAGTGTGATAATTGATGATGTTCCTCACATTTTCCATGCTTGCCATTTAAAAACTGATAAGTTTATGTTGCTTAAAATTGTTCTTCATTATAATTATCATATGTTAATGTATTTTTTTTCATGTTTTTTTTTCTTCCCATTACAATTACATGATTAAAAATATACCCTACTCAGGCCCATGAGGTTTAAAGGTTTGAGGACACCTGGTCTGCAGTATTTGTTGTCAAAATTGATCTGGGCAAGTGATCCAAACACAACAAAATTAGCTTTTGGAGTTTTATAAAGTTTAATTAATGCCCAACTCTAGCTTAGAAAAATGTTTAAATTTATGAAATTTCATAATAATTTCTTTTTTAATTTATGTGTTTTTGTTGTTGAAAATTGCAGTTATTATATTGGCAATATTGGCTACATTTCTAGATACCTGTCTGGAAATAAATTAAGTTTTAAGATATTCCCCTAATGATATGCATGTTTTAGTTGACCTGTGTGCTAGATTTTCTTTGGGACTGATTTCAGATAATTAAATTTATGTAAACATTTCTGTTTGGTTTAATGCTCCTTTTTATAACTATGTTTAAAATATTTCCATTTGCAGGATTATCTGATGGGTTTGCAGAAACAGCGTATGCTTCATGAGTGTCAAGTCTTGAAGAAATTGCTTTTTTATATTTTCTCAACCTGTAAATAACTCATTGGAAGCTGCAAAACAAATATGTCATTACGAAGGCACATGTTAACTTACCGTATAAAAAAGAGGGTGTTATTCTTTATTTTGGCCATTGTGCTGATAAGCTTGGCCCTTGTTTATCGAGCCCTACTGTCACAATTTTCAAGTATCAGCATACGTCCTTTTGGTGAAACATTTGAAGCAGCACCCAGGCGTCAGCCAAGGTTGAAACCCAAGCACAGAATTGTTTCGGGTGCATATTCTGATTCAGACGCATTTCCTGCATTTAATAAACCAGTGATACAAGAAAGTCTTCAGAATGTTTTATATCCAAATATAATTTCGAAGGAGCTTGAGACTTTGCGCAACAGAGATTTGTTGAATGCAGATGGAAAACAGGCACTGACAAGTTTTCTTCTCAAGTTGTATCCTACTAACTGGGCCACAGCACCAGAGACGGATGAGGTAGCCCTGGACCTGAAATATCTGCTGATGGATTACGGATTGGAGAGTAATCTAAGCTGTAAAGACATCGACAAATTGCGGTTGGGGTCATCTATATCTTTCTCCCGAACAAAGAGAATTGAGCTTGGCTTCAATGAAGAGCAATACAGGGCTAATGGTGGGAACACGTATGAAAGAGCAGGCAAAGGCCAAACTTCTCTAGCTGTTAGGAGTTCTCTGTATGACATGGACATTAAAGTGTCATGCATGAAGCAGATTTATGACGCAGACATTTGTGAAACTATGGGAAACTACAGGTGAGAACACATTGAACCTAACCCATGGTTAAGATGTGGAACAATTACAGAGGGAAATAACTTAATGGATTTTAAATTGCCGTTAGAAATTCAACACATATATGACAATATAAATTAATTATTTTCAAAGTTTTTCATGATTTTATATTTTACAATCCATGATTTTTACAATTTTAATCTGATATTTGTTCCAAATCATTGATGACATTTTGTTAAAGATATTTTTTTTCCTATTAGGTTGTAATTTACCTGTAATGTGTTAAAGATAAAAAAAAAATAATTGTAAGAATAATGTATTCTCTACAGTATGTGGATAGCTATAAATTATGTAAAATATTGTGTAGCTGGCACTGAATGTCCACCTGATACAAACACCTACTCTGATCACAGACTTTTGAGAGAGCTACTCTTCCTGACCACTCTCAACCATCCCAGTGTTCTGAGACTGACGGGCTACTGTCTTCGAGGCAATCGCATGTCATCTAATCTGCTAGAGAAAGGAGTGATCATCGTCACTGAGGTGGGCACCTCCATGAGTGATTCCCTTATCTTTGCATCAACTTGGGCACAAAGAGTAAAAGTAAGTTTTCAATGTATCATACATTTTTTTTGAAAATCTAAATCATCTCTTTTTACCCCCTTTAAACTTAACTTGAGTGTTGTTTATTAGTTGTGGTTAGATGTCTTTGAATCCGATTTCCTGATGTCCTAGAAAGCTGGAATTTCTTACACAGCTTAGTCTCATGGTACATTGTGATCTATTATGTTTTGACTAACAAGTATCATTCCTGTCCTTAAAGTTTTTGATGGTCAATAAAATATCAATAAATCAGATGTCAATGAAATAGTGAATGCGTCAAACACAACTCACTTTTAACAAGCAACAACCTTGCCTTGTCAGAATATGCAGTTGTGTCCCCTTTGAAAGTGTTGTTATACCATGAATCAGATCAAGTTAAATGAGAGCTTTACAAAATATTTGCAACAGAATTGCAATGGAAAAAAATGAGGCGATTATGAGAGCTTCCTGATTACTGACATTGATCTTCATCTTTGCCTCTCTCAACTTTCAGTGGTCGATAGCAATATCCTTCCAAGCCTTCCTGTCTCTTGCTTTGATATCTGCCTCAGATCCCCCATCCTTACTAACTATGCTTCCTTGATATCTGCCCCATCCTTTCTTACTATAATTCATGTTATTAGCCTCAGATCCCCCATCCTAACTATACTTCCTTGATATATGCTTCAGATGCCCCATCCTTATTAACTATAATTGCTTGAAATCTGCCTCGAATTTCCCAGCCTACTTCACTTCCTATGTATCTGCCTCAGATCCTCCATCCTAATTATACTTCCTTGATAATTGCCTCAGACCCCCTATCCTAACTATATGTCATTGATATCTGCCTCAGATCCCTCATTCTTACTATTCTTCCTAGATAGGAAAAATTATCTACTTATCATAGTGCCTTTCCTCTTAACACTATAGCATCTGCGCTGTTTGCCTTGTTCTGAATAAAATTGTTTTGATTTTATTTATTACAAGCCCACCTGTCAGGAAATTGAATCAAGCTTTAAAGGGCCATTTTACATTTGTTTATGGCTTTGGGATAATAGGGTTTTGTCATTATGGCTTTGGGATAATAGGGTTTTGTCATTATGGCTTTGGGATAATAGGGTTGTGTCATCTGCCAAGTTCAAATCTTCTAGTTGTTTGGAAAACTGGATTATTGACATAAAATCTATTCACAATTGGGTTCTGGAAAAAAAACGATGTATTTACTTTGTTAAAGAGATTAGAGAAAATAAAATTTTATTGTTGGTACGAGCTTTACTCCTAGTATGTAATGAATTTTCTGCTTTTATCAGCAGATCAAAAATCAAAGAGAGATAATAATTAGGGATGTCTAAGATATTTTTTTATTAACAATTTCCAGATGACCAATAACAACATTTTTAATAAAAAAATATTTTCTTCAACTTGTTTCTTGTAATTCATAATAAGAAAAGAAAAAAAAAAATTTCCTCTGAAATTTTGTGATTGCTTTGTATCCTTTTTATGATATTTATATAAATCTACTTGTAAGCCATGCATTGACAACTCTTTTATTTATACTTATAAGCCATGCATTGACAACTCTTTTATTTATACTTGTAAGCCATGCATTGACAACTCTTTTATTTATACTTGTAAGCCATGCATTGACAACTCTTTAATTTATTAACATGCTGTTATTCCTTCTGGACTGTTTCTTAACATAACATTACATTTTGACCAAACACTGTCTTGTTGGATCAAGCGTTGTCTATTAGTTTTGCTCAAACGTTGTCTTAGTTTGAGTAAACATAAAAAAAATGCATCAGTCTCTTTTGCCTTGCCAGCATCAACTTTAAAAGTTGTGTCTGCATTCTGAACTAATGTTTTCTTTTTCCTTGTAACAGCTGGCCTTACAGGTGGCACACTTGCTGCTGTATCTGGACAGGAGTCCATTTGGCAGCTTAGCTCTGACACAGCTGCAACTCAAAGACTTTGTGCTGGTCAATGAGCTGACCATGAAACTGGCAGATCTGGATGACCTTGAGGTTGGAGAAAGGACCTGCTCCGCTGATTCAGACTGCACCGTGAAGAATTTTAAGAAAGGTCTTTCTTGAAACTTTTATTTATTCTTAAATCTTTTATTTAGCATAGCTAAAAGGCTAAAAGTTGTCTCTTAGGATGTTGTTTATTAGTGTAGCACCAGTAGAACTCTAGGATATAGCTACTGTAATGTTGTGCAAAACATATCGCCATCTGACCTGCTGGTGAGAAATGTATTTAATTCTTACAATGAACTGCAGGTGTTAAGTGCACGGAAGGAGCCTGTGAAGGCCTCAACTCCCTCAATAACCTGGCCATATCCCTGGAGAGTGTCCTGATACCCATTCTAAGAAATCCACCAAATGATGAAGAAAGAGACCTGGTGGCCAAGCTGAGTGACCTTGACATCAGCACACAGAAGCTGGTGGAGTCCTTGGAGAAGATCTTCAACAAATTACGTAAGTGTCGAGTAGCACAGCTGCTAACATCACGCCGAGAGATGCTGAGCCGCTACATTAGGTATCATCCGCTGCAATCACTTTGCTACAGCTGTGGAATAATTATTGTCATAGTACGAAAAATTTGTTGTTAAAAAAAAAATTGGAAAGAATGTATTAGTATGTTTTATTACTTTATTTCCATGATGTGGTAGGTAAGGTAATCTTGTATTGCCAGTATCAGTTATTCCTCACAGGTTGATTCATGTCCCTTTTACACTGTAGCATTGACAATGATGAGATGTTGGCCCCATGGTGCTATGATAGTCTGTCTCACAACCTAAGAGTTACAGTAGAGATTCTTTCTAAAGTCTGTTTGTTCATAGGCTGACCAGGAAACCCACCCCCCCCCTAGTTTTGGAGGAAAATTTGACTTTTACTATTTATTTATCATCACATTGGGATAAGAGGGGCATCATCTACTATTGATATTTTTGTTTTATTAATATTTAAAGCTTCATGTAACGTATATGAAAATTGTAGAGCGTAGGGTAGACAAGGAACTTGTCGGTGACAATGTCATTATTTAATGTACCTGGACAAATGATAAAAATCTCCTATCAGCCGGCCACCCCACTTATTCTCCTGTAATATTTCACCCAGCAACCTCAGCTTTAGGACAAGTAAATATGGTCGTTGTTTCGGATTGTGTTGTGCTTATTTCTAATGATAGTTTTCTTGAGCAGTTTAATCCACTGCTGGCTTGCCAGGCCTGGCAGTGGCTTCACCAGGTCCCAGTCGGCCAGATTTTTCAGGTGGACTTGACTTTGTCTGTTTCCATCCTCCCATAGAGAGGACCCGGGTTTGGGATTTGGGAGACTTGAGTCCATGTCAGGAGGTCATCATCCAGATAAACAGGTCATAAAAATAGATGGTCAGCTGCTCCAACAATGCCAGGAATTGAAATTGCAATTTGGGGAAGCATTTGGGCTGAGGATGGGAAAAAATGGATAAATAGAGACAAGCCGTTAAATAGCCGCCCCCCCCCCCCCCCCCACTAAGAGACCCAAGAATAAAGACGGAGACCAAGGCCAGTATTAAAAACTGTCTCTGTTCCAACCATCCCTTACAATAGACAAAATGTTTAGTTTGGAGCAACTCACCTGCTAACTAATGCAGATATTCTGGTGAAGGTCTGAGATTATTCTCTTATGACACAGGCTGGTGCATTGGCCACCAGCTCCATCTGCTCAGCTGAGCCATATAACATTCTCCTCACGTAGGGCAATTCTGCCCTGGCCCTTGCCTCCCCTGAAAATCTAGTAAGGGATATTTGGTCAGATGCATTAGTGTTTCTGGGACCAGGCTGCAATGCCGGCAGGTAGGTTCCCTGTTATTATCTAGCCTTTTCAAATATGTGCCGATGGGACAGTGCTCTTAACGCATCTGTGTCACCAGACTCTGCTGTCTGCGACCTTACCCCAACCAGGGGTCTTGTCTGCGAGGAGTCGGCAAGTTAGCGAATACACCTCTGGCTGCTATGTAAGGCAGCAGTTTTTGGAGAGGAGGAAATTCCTGAGTAAAAAACCTCAACACCTAAATTCTGAAGGCAGCAGCAGCTTAATATGGGACACAAAAATAGGATTTCTTTTGTGTCCAATCTCATGCAAAGAAAAAAAACAGATGTGTTTTTTTAAAAATTGAAATTAGAATAGAGTAAATAAAATCAAAATAAAATGTTGTGAAATAAGGTTATGAATAAGTGGATAAACGATTCAGCTGTTCTTTACGACTCCTGACTCAGAATTTAATTATTACATGCAAGGAATGTTGTAAAGGGTGTATAATAAATAACATTATCAGATGAACTCATTTAACTAAATTTTTAAACAAAATTTGAAGTTATAAAAAAATTAATATTATAAATATTTCCACCTAGAACCTGCTCCATGATTCTGGTGACCATGAATTCTGCTGACCATGAATTCTGCTGACCATGAATTTTACCAGCTTTGCAAAGTGTCTTTTAGCACCCTGTTATTTTTCTGTTCATTTCATCAACAGCTTCAGAGGACACTAATGAACCCATCTCCAAAGATGGTCGAAGGCCAGTCAGGAAAAAGACTGTCAAGAATTCTCTGGCAGAAAAGCTCCAAAGCCAGGAATTGATCATCAAGGTAAATTGTTCACAGAGGTTGTCACATGGTGTTGTTTGAAGTGAAATTAAAAAAATGTATAAAAAAAATGTTTACAGACATATACGCTGCTTCAATTCATTTTTTAAAATATCCTATGCCACACAATAGTTTCTCAAAGCTGTTCCCAAAAAATTACAGATTGCTACTGTTTAGTGAGGTGTTGTTATACATGACTGTTTTCAAGCTTACACAAAAATTTTAATCAGGCAAATTATTGAAGCAGCTTCAGTCTAAGGAGTTAAAAAAAATGCTGTTCTATATCCAGTTCCAAAGATGTTGATGAAACATTTAAAATTTGATGGGCATTAGACTGCATCTATGAAAGGAATTTAACCTTTCAACTACGCAATTGTTTTTTTTTGTTTTGAAAGATGCCTACAATACTGAGAAATTCTTAATAATGAAACCGTGTTTCATCATTTTCATAGAATTCACATTTACTTAACACTAGGCCAAGAATTATTAGAATTAATGAGACTAACCTTAAGAATATGCAAGATCTTACCATACCATATTGCCATTTTATAAACTTAGGTTCATATACCATCCATTTATCAGTTAACAATGAACACATTTGTCATATTATATTAAATCTTCTAGTATGTTACTCTTTTTTTATTTGCAAGATTTGCTCTCTTAGATTAAGCGCTTTGACCAGATTTTTGTCAAATTAACTGTTGTACTAAAATAATTTAAATAAATCGTTATGTGCTTCTACACAACAGGACAGGACCAGTGTTGATGAAGTCATGTCATTGTTTGTAAGAATGGATTTAAAAAACTTTGCTGGCATCTATGACTATCCCTGCACTGGATCTCGTGTGCCCTGGGGCTGTGTGTTCACTGTGCAAAGTCTAACTGATGGAGCCACCCTGTGCATGAATGACGTGAGATGCCAGTGTTTTGTTACCTTCTCAACACACCCTGAGTCAGAGAGTAAGTCATGTGGTGTTGAAATGTGTATTTTTGAAGTTTTTGTGCTAAGATGCCTCAAAGACAAATATAAACCAGTCACCAGAAAAGTAAAATGAAAAAAAAAAAAAAAGAAGAAGATTTTTGAGGGACACTTTTCATTGTTATGTTATCTAGTATTTTAAGCTTTCAGGGAGACAGTGCTCAAAAGATGATAAACTTCTAAGTCATTGCTCCTCAGCATGTGGGTCGCAACATGCCACAGACATTTTAAAGTCTGTTACGATTAATCAGGACAAAGCACTGATTTTGGGGGTTCCAGCTGATAATAACTTCAGAACCTTCAACTGATTACCAGCAGATCCTAGACAACCCACTGTTATTTTCTATAGGATCCAGTTAACAAAAACTTTGAGTGTTGCTATTTTCACATCCCTCTGGTCTTAAAAATTACTTTTACTCCATGACAAAAGTAAATTTTTTTTTTTTTTTTTTTGCAGTAGAGGTAGCAGGAATATTAATTTAATTGTTATTGTAATAAATATGATTTTTTTGTTTGGATGATATTTTTTTTAAAATTTGAACCTCATTTGTAAACGCCCCCCCTTCCTCCTTTTTTTCCCTTTTAATCTTGATGAATGAAAAAAACTAGATTAGATGAAGTTGCCTACCAAATAAACATTTTCTAACTTCAGTTACTACCCACTGAAAAAACTTGATCAACAAAAGGATTGATAATATAGATTTTGTATAAAAATACATTTGAATACCACTTTTATCTGTATTGTCCAGCATTGATGACGGTTGTGCTGAAGAACAACACAGATTCCGAACCCCACACCTCATCAGGCACAACACTGTTCATACGGCGTCCTTTTGGCAACAAGGAGAGTAAAGGGGAAAAAACAGAGGAAACTGAAGTGCTGCTTATTTCTAGTGAGATCAGCACCTGCACGGACTCGGTCCTGCATGCACAGGAGTCTGCCAGGGCCAGCAGAGAAAACAGGTTAATGACCCACCTGGGTGTGAGGGGTGAGTCTGACCCCCGTGGTCATTTGCTTTACAAGGAAGGATAGGCTGTTCTGTGTTTTAAACGTTGGGCATCTCTTCTTGCTGTTATTTGTTAACTCATTCCCGACGGTCTCGCGTCCCTCGAGACTTCCGGCTATGGCGTGATTTCTGCGTGATTTTAATTTTTAAACCAGAAGTTTTTATCTTGTTTCACTTTAAAACTGTGTGTGCTTAAGAACAGCTCGTTTATATGTAGCATGTTTTCGTCCGAGGTGCCAAAAATCGATTTTTTGGTCTTTGTTCATTATTCTTTCACCGCTAATGTTATATTTTTTTTATTAAACCTTATTCATTTTTTTTTCCTTATTTCATTAACATTTATTATTATTTAGCAGCTTAAAAAATATTTTAAAAATGTAAATCAATTTCAAAACTGAGTTGCTTCCCTTTTCTCAGGAAAATAAATTAAGTACGGAAGTAGCACTGACGGAGGGAATGAGTTAAACTGTTCTTGCAAATGGTGTTATTTGTTAAACTGTTTATTGAAATGGTGTTATTTGTTAAATAAATTAGTTACATGGAAAACTATTCTTAATTCTTCTAAAATTTGGCAGCAGTTGCAGGTTGAAAAAAAACCCCAATGAAAACAGGTCGCTGTATGTGTGGCTTCAATTTAATAGAAAAATTGTTACCTCTAATGAAAAAAGCAGAACAAAGATTAAAACAAAAATAATAATAAAGCTAGCTTATTAGTAATTTGTTACACCTTTAAAAGGTTCAGGGTCTGGCTATTTGTAAAAGGTTCAGGGTCTGGCTATTTGTAAAAGGTTCAGGGTCTGGCTATTTGTAAAAGGTTCAGGGTCTGGCTATTTGTAAAAGGTTCAGGGTCTGGCTATTTGTAAAAGGATAATTATAAAAACAGTTTTATCACACCATCTACTGAGAGCACACAATCATTTAAAAGAAAGCTGCAATTATGAAGTTTTTTAGTTTCTGTGAATAAATAAGCGAACCAGAGATTTTCTAAAACCATTTAAATTTAAAGACATAGCCACCAGGATCTGCATTAGAAAAAATCAGAAAAGCTTTAAAAACTTAAAATTAACAGCAGAGATAAGCAGAAATGGGTCAAATAAGGCTCTGTACTTCCATCTACTGCCATCATATTGAACACATCTTAAGATGCATCAACCCGCCTCCTACTTGACCTGGATGTCTTTAAACACGAAATAAAAAAGACGCTTCAGTTCTCTGCCTTTTTTTTTTCATCTATTAACAAACATTCACCTGATCATCACCATGTTTTGATGTGTTACCAGGCGTGAGAGAGCAGTCCTGGAGGAGATCAGTACTCAGTCAGTCACTGGGCACACCAGCTCGGATTGTCAGGATGGAAGGTGGCGGGGGCAGGTTCATAGCCAATTTGACTGGTGTTGATGAGATCACAGAAGATGCTGATAGAGTGACCTTCATTGCCGAGGAGGGACCTAAGGCATACCACCTTTCTTATGCCATCGTTTATCATATGGACAGATTACTTGGGGTAAGTATCAATGCGTTAATAAGCCGACTTCTTAAAACACTGTCCTAATACTTGGTGCTTGCAACACAGTCATGCTGATAAATTTGGATTTTTGGTAAGTATAAGTATAACAAAGAAGAAATAAAAACCTTGCTGCAGGCAGACTTTCAGCATTGAAGATTTGGGGGAGGTTGGTATGAGAGTAAAATAAAATAATGTTCAAATAAGAATGTTCATGAAAGTACTGCTGAGTAGGAAAGCTTTAGACCATCCAATAGCCGCCTTATTATTAATCACTAAAAAGAACAAGAGAGAATGCAATGATAAGACTCATAAGAACAAACTCCCAATTAAAATGTTTATTCCCTGAGGAGAGGCATCTTAAACAGTTTTAAAGATTAAAAGGCTGTAGTCAGCTCAATTAACGAATGTCTTCTGTCTTATACGCATTTATTAATTAAGTGGATTCATCTGAGAACTTAGTTCATGCATGCTTCATTTAAAATAAATGATGAGGCACACTTTCAAATAAAAATATTCAAACCCCCACCCCCGGCCCAGCCCCACTTGATAAAATGTACCAATTATTTCAACAACACAGCTGTACCACACCCCGCCTTGTGTAGGCATACATCTGACATCAGAAGTTGTACGGCAGTTTAAAAACAACAGCCTGTGGGACAACGTCTTTACGCCTCTGATCAAGTCTGATGGAACTCTGGGTGGTAAGAACACTAACTGTGCTTTTATGGTGGGGTGTACTGGGACTATGTCTTTACAGCTCAATGTGGTTATTGTCTGATTTTCATTGAATAAATCTGATAAATGTTGCATCTATTTTTTTATGCACAACACCTCAATAGTATCATTGTTTCCATAGGAGTCAAAATGGTCCCAGCTCTCATAGCTGTACTTCAACTCTTTCATTTGTTCCTTAGGAATCGCAGTGGTCCCAACCCCCAAAATTATGAAACTGGGAAAACTCATCCTGTCACCCATTCATGCCATTGGCCATGACGGTACCCAATTTGACCGCCCAGAGAAACTGCAGCTGGAATATGTCGTACTCTACTGGCTCAGCCGCATGAACTTGCATAAAAATGAGCATTTGGGCTACAAAGGTAAGTTTAAAAAATAAAGTAGGAATATGTTTAACTTTTTGTTTCAATGCATGGGTAATAAAAAGACTACAAATTATTTTAGCATCTGGTAGGATGAGATAAGATTCTTTTATTATTTGAAATAAATAGAAATGCTTTTTTGATTAAATTGTACATATTAATTTTTCAGCACATAAAATAAATGCATATTTTGTGCTGGACAACATTTGACATAACAATTTAAATACAAGACATGTTAAAGTAATTGTTCAGTTTATAAATCAGCCATCAGTGAACTCCCTCAGTGACAATCATCACTTTGATAATTTAGATTTGGTGACTGCTTGGATTGATAGTATCCATGGGGGTGCTAAAACTAAAAGGCTCCGTGATTTCCATGGGGGGGCTATATCAGGAGTCAATTTTAAAAATAGAAAATATATCCCTTATAATGCAGATACAAAAAAAAGTATCTCAGTTGTTTCAGCAGTAATAGGGAGTAATATAGAGACATGAGTCAGAGATAATAGAATTATTTTAGACACAAGGGGAAGAAAAACCTTTAATATAAACATAGGATACATTGATAGTGGGCCCTTAAAATATAGAAAAAGAAGAATGTCAAACAGAAGTACAAGAAGCTATTAACAGCAATACATGCGTACGTAGCAGTTCTATTCAGAATAAGTTTTATAATGGGGCTGAGACAAAGGGCTATAGGGGTATAACTTCATGGATGGGGTAAAAATTATGGTGGTTGAGTGGGGGGGGGGGAGGGTGTTGGCCAGAAAATTTTGAGAACCTTTGACAGGGATTCAAATTTCTTGTTTTGTCACTATAATATTATAATTAGCATTAATGATTAAATAACAAAGATTCAAGATAAATAGGGGTATAACTTCATGGATGGGGTAAAAATTATGGTGGTTGAGTGGGGGGGGGGGGGGGGTGTTGGCCAGAAAATTTTGAGAACCTTTGACAGAGATTCAAATTTCTTGTTTTGTCACTATAATATTATAATTAGCATTCATGATTAAATAACAAAGATTCAAGATACAATTTTTGTATTGCACACAGGCCACCTGATTCACTTCTTTGCAGACCGAGCTTTTGCAAACACTTCAGTTGAATATTCAGGTAATTCCATGGGCTGTTTAATAAACCTGTTGCATTTCATTTCTCATTCATTTCATAACTTTTTATCTTATTCAAACAATGTTAAAATGGTTTAAGTCATTTGAGCAGTATTAAAATGCATTGTCTTATTTAAACAATACTGAACTAGGTTGAATAATTTTGAAAACGTTTACAATTTTTTGTAAACTTTACAAAGGAATATTTCCAAGAAATTTTGCTTTTATATAGAAATATTTTGTTACAAACTTGAATGTTGATGACTGGGGCCGTGGGCTTTGGAAATATCTGGTCCTTAAATAGTTTATGATTTTATGTGCATAGTAGTAGCGTGTGGAATAGAATGCTACATCAGCAAGCACGCATATGTATTTATTATGTCAGTGGATACTTGTTGGGCTTTTAAATTTGATAGACTTGCAAGAAATTAAAAAACAATAAGCAGTTGAGTGATTAAACAGAAAAAGAACATTGAAGCTATATGCAAAAAAAAATGAAATTTTTAAAACGTTTCCATTGAAGATATTTGCAAAAAATGAAATGTTAAACATTTTTCCATTAAAGGTTTTTGAAACAAATGAAATATTTAACAACTTTTCCATTGAAGATATATGAAACAAATGAAATATATTTAAAAACTTTTCCATTAAAGATATATGAAACAAATGAAATATTTAAAAACTTTTCCATTGAAGATATATGAAAGAAATGAAATATTTAAAATGTTTCCAACTTTTGAATTCTGCTCAAAGACACAATATTTTGAAACCATGACTCATTTTTGTCAAACATTATTTATCTAAAGGAGAATAAAAACAAATATTTCTTTTTGGTGCAAAGAATTACTCTTTCTTTCACTAAGTTCAAACAAATTAATTTTGTTTTATTGGAACTCAATAGTTTTACTCCTGAATTTAAAATTTTTTTTTTCTTTTTCTGTGCAGGCTATCTAAACCACTGCCAGTTTCCCAATGTGGTTTTCAAAAACCTTGTCTGTTTCCGCTGTGTTTCCCAACATGATACCACAAAGGTTGTCTCAAGGATATGTGGTCTTGGGGACATGGTAAGAAGGGAATATAATATGTGTTTACCATTGAATGCTGTTTTAAAAAAAAGTCATTATTATTATTATCATCATGCATTGCTCAACAATCCTGCTAGATAAGGGTTTAAAATATTTCAACCTGGTATTCTTAGAATACCTTTACTGCTATTGTTCTGTATGCCACACAGTATCAAAATAACTTTATCAGGCCTGTTTACTCT